AAATAAATAAATAAATAAATAAATAAATAAATAAATAAATAAATAAATAAATAAATAAATAATAAATTGTGCAATTGTAAATTTTATGGTGTTTTTTCGCGATTAGGAAAATGGAAGGTGGTGGCTCAATTCTGTCTTCGGATTCAGCTCGTCGACATACATAGAGAAACATGTGCCGTCTTAGGGTCTGACAACTTTGTGTGTGTCCGAGTTAAAGCTATTAAACCTGAATACAGAACACGTTTTAGTATCGTATCCATATAGTGTTTCTTTATACTAGGAGTGCATATTTATGGATTCGATAGATGGAAAGGCACCTTCAAGATCGCCCTACTTACCGACAGCGTTTCATCTGAGCCCTATCGGTAACATCAGCATTAGAAAGGCACGGGAGAAAGACGGAGTGGCCGAAGGGAGAGTAGAATCAGTTTAATACGTCGGGTAATCGATATTCTTGTTTCAGTAAATTGCCAATGACTCGGACCCGGATGTTTATGACGTCATTTTTTCTTTGCGTTATTTCCATGTAAAATAAGCATGATTTTATCTACAATGACTAAAATTATGAAATTTTCACGCGTCATATGAAGCCATATTTTGGCTTTATTTAACCCTTTGGTCATTCTCCGTTCATTTTAATAACAAGCAAAATAACACGCCACTTTCTGGAAGGCCGACGTTCGCGCGCTTTTTATAGGATCGGGACGGAAACGCGCAAGTCGGCAAACCCGTGCGCGTAGCGCGCTTCATTCAAATCGAGCGACAAGTTTCTTCACAAAAGTTCTTACACTTCCCTCTGTGTACTGAGAGCAATGGAAAGACCCTGACTTCTGGAAAATCTTATCTTTGATATTAACTAGATTTTCAGCAAAGCTGATATTTGATGGATATAATACAAATTATAATATACATTTTGTTGGATACAAATTAAAATGTAGAAAAGTATTGAATTTTGGCAACTTTCGAAAAATCCGGATTATTCACGAAAATGAGACTCACGCCATTCTCATAAATGTCCTTCATACTATCGAATAATAAAATTTAATGAAAAACGTTGGAGCTATTTTTTTGTTTTGAAAATGTCCCAGAAAAGTTTGTTTGGGAAATGTCATTGACTTTATGTAAAAGAAAAGGAAAAGCTAAATTCTCAAATGATTAAACAATCATTAATTTTTAAAATTTATTAAAAATATTGGATTACATTAGTAGTATAAAAAGTATTACATAACTATTACGAAAGGTGAGAAACATGTGCTGTTTTAGCACCACTAGTTAGGTCACAAATGCTTGCATATTTCTAACATTTTTACACATTTCATGGTGCTTTTTCGCGATTAATAAAAAAATTAAGTGTGATGGCGTAATTCTGGCTTTACATCGGGATGCAGCGCGTTGACATACATGGATATACATGTGTCAAGCCTTTGAGTCTGACACCTTGTGTGTGAAATCAATTAATCAGGTATGCTTCGAAGCTGTTTCAACTTTAGACTTTATTTCCCCTCTTTATGGTAAATGTGAACATCATCCGGCTAATTCGGGAATCAGCCAGATTCGGACAGCGGTAACTTTTACACGGAATTTATTACAAATTGCGCCCTTTTCTCGAAACTACATTTTACTTCTCTCATACTAATGGCTGGAGAATTAGTGCCATTCGTCCGTATACCTCTCTCGAACATGTTAACGCAACGTTTCATAAAAAAAAAAAAAAACAACTACAACACATACTTTCTCATATTATTACAAAATTCACGATTTTCAAAAAGTCGAAGAGTTCAACGAAATCGAGACCCGAGCCATTCTTTTAAGCGTCCCATCTTGTATCCACGAAAAAATTAAAGATAATATTTGAAACGTTTTACAAGATTTTTTTTTTTTATTTTTTTAAAATCGCATTATTTTCAAGCACAAAATACGCGAAAACTACTAGTTTCTTCAAAAAACTGTACGTTTTGAAGAGCTAAATTTTTACAACAGACTTTGAGTCAAAACTCTCTTCAATTTTGCAGTTTTGGAATTTTAACTTTTTGCAATTTTCGAAAATACATTGTGTTCGAAGAAAATGGGTCTAGTCTTGGCTTCCTCTAAGGCCCCCTCTACCTTGCATCGATACATACGAAAAGAAAAGTATTGGAGGGTTTTTGAGAAAAGAGTTTAAAAAATTGCCTTTATTTCACCTAAAATTACGCGAAAACTACTCACATTATCGAAAAATTGAACACGACCTTATTTCAAGATGTCTTTGAACAACAGATTTCATTTAGGCAAAAGGCTATCTTCAATATTATAATTGTAGGAAGGCGCCCAATAAAAATATTTAATTTTTGCATTTTCGAAAAATCAGGGACTTTAACGAACATGAAACCTGCACCATTCTCGTATCCGTCCTTTCGGCTAACCAAGAGTAAAGATTAACCAAAAACTTTAGAGCCATTTTTTAGAAAATTTTGAAAATGTTTTGGAAGCTTCGTGTGGCCTTACAGATTAAAATACCCGTTCGAAACTCCCAAAGCCTCGAGTTCGTTCAGATCGCTCACGGAACATTTTTGGAGTAAATCAGCTGACCGGTTCAGGCGCTAGCGTTGACCACAGACGGACAGACGTTTTGCTGTCAATCGATTTTTCGGTATCAAGAAGCCATAAAATTTGGAGGTTGGCTACACCATATGTTTGAGGAATTAGGATTACAATATAATTGGTACACCATTTATCCATTTTTCGCTATCAGGACCCCACAATAAGTTTATTTTCGGTCTAAAATTCGCCGTTTTTCTCTAATATTCTCCTGGCCTGTAGTGGTCACAACAAAGAATACACCTTCAAATTTGTTAAGCTTTGTTACGTTAGTGCTGAAATTCAGTTGTACTAAATTTAAGAGTAGCTTTCCTTTTCCTGACTTTTTCAGTCTTTCTTCATACAAATAGAGGAAAATTATTATCTTACCTGTTGTACTTGATGGTTGTTGTACTTGTTACTGTATTAATAATTTGTCTTGAGTTGATGTAAATCAAGTAATGTCATTTTAAAATTTGTATTAGTGTGTGATTCTAAATTGGGGTCAGAAGAGATTAGGGAGTTATAAAAATAATTTATATTCAATGAGTGCAGATTAGAAAATGAGTGATGGAATTGGCTGTGCAAGAAAGGGAGAAAACACAATAATATGGACATTAGAAATTACAAAGATGGAGAATGTAAATATTTATACATTACAGATGAAGACTTAGCTGAAAACATGAAAATAAATGGGTATCACTAAATAACAAATCCTTGACTTATGCAACACTACACACTATCCCAAGCTAGAGGTGTTTTCTTATTTCAAAAAGAGATTCTCGAACTTCACTCAAAAATTAATTATGAATAAATTCTCCAGATATAAATATTTTGAGTCTCCGTAAATTATGTATTGCAAATTTGCATCGTCCTGGATGCCCCTTTATTCCTGTATCACAAGCTGCATCTCCCCTAAATAATTACATAAATGTTGGCCTCACTTTTAAATTATAATAAGTAAAAAATTTATACACATATATAATATATAGGGTGAACCATGTAACTTTAGCATCTCCTGTAATTTTTGAACAGTTGAATTTATTGTTATGCAGTTCTCATGAAGTGCACGAGGGAATGGGGATAACTGATGAATGAATTTGTTTCCATTTCATTACTTGTATTTTACAAGATGTTGAGATAAGCTTGTTTTTTCAAACGAAACTATACATATTTTTGTAAGTCTATCTTGATGAGCGTAAAAAGATAAATCTATTTTATATTTATATAGTCATATGTTAGATCACCATTCTTTTGAGTATTTTTTTTTTTTTTTTTGTCACACATTTAACGGATATTTTGAATATAATAAGTAACCCAAGGTCACGCAGCACTCTCCTCGCTAACGTGCACTCGGGGTGTTACAATATCCATTAAACACAAGCCTAAAAAATTAAAATTGCTCTAAAATTAATAATAAGAAATTCATTGCATATACACCCCCCAATTTATCACAAAAACAACCTACCATAAACACTAACAATGAGTGTCAAGCAATAAATATATGCAGTTTACATTGGAATTATGCTGTCTAGCTATTTGTTGAATTCATAATGTTCAGCTTTCTTACCTTTTGCTAGCAGCTTCTAAAAAAATTATTTCACTGAAAGGATCGAATTTCTAAAATGTATGCAAAATTTCACTATGAAAAATACATGAAATATAAGTAAGTAAACCAGGGCCCCTGATATCATCTACACCAATGCTTGGTCGGAGGATATACTATATGTGCATGAATACATGCAGCATTGGAGGTTAATAGCCAGTTTCTTCAAACAGTACTTCTTACATTTTTAATATTATTTAATTAGCTTCATTTTTTGAATTAGCTTTCTTGATATTTTAATGTTTAGTAATCTTGGTATTAGACTGATGTGGCTGCCAAATGATCCAAAAATTAGTTTCGACTGTGGACTGTTTACAGTAGGTTACTACTTCAAGGACTGTCAAGTTATTTAAGTTTTACAGTTCTTCCAATTTTGTGTCCAAAATATACAAATTTTCCAAATTTATGTTCAAAAAGGTAAATGTTTCTAAATTAATGACATAAGCTCTCTGAAGAGGTGAAATTCATTTTGATGAAACATCGGAAGACTATTGGTTCTGAATGCTGAGTGATAATAGACTCAATCCACTGATTCTTTTCTTCCCTCTGGTACACTAGAATAAAACTGTATTAAAAGAAATAATTCAGTAAATATTGAAAAATAAAAATAAATTCAGTGACACAACACTAAACGATACCCTTTCCCTGACACCATGCAATACAGAATAATGCTGCTTTAAATTTCCACTCTCTGCTTTTCGAATTAAGTAATTTATGAATGAGCATATATTAGAAAGTCGCACAGTTGGTTTGCAATATTGTTACATGCAATTTTCTCTTAATTTATATTTTTGAAACTAGACCTACCATTTTTACTTTAAACATCTGATATGTACTTTGACAAATATAGGTGAATATTCAGTCAAAAAAGGGTAATTTAATTATGCTATAGCCCTCACCTAGAAAATGATAGAACTAATATTTAACAGTTGTGTACAAAATGAGTTGTCATTTGGTGTTCTTGTGAGCTAATTAGTAAAAACAAAACTGAATAACATACTACTATAAATACTGTATTCATCATGTACATCAATGCAAGAATACACAACATTGAATCTGTATATTAATTATCATGTATAATCAGTCATAAAAACCATCATTCATAGAAATCATGCTTGATATGTACATAGAAAAATTCCATGTCAATACATAAAAAAATTACACAAAATTTGCTTCTTCCCTTTCTTTGGAAACTTACAGAGACATGCACACAACACATTTCAACAATCATTTTCATTATATAAAACTACCAGTTAAACTATGTGTTATATTTACAGCAATATTTCTTCAAATTGTATGAAAAGCTTATTCTGATCATTATAAACAGTCCTCTATATTTATGCAGAGCTGTAGCGAACATTTAAATACTTCAGATATTCATAACATATCAATAATCACACAGTTTTTACATTGTTGCTTTGCAACTTGGACTTCAATTGTGCAGTTAATGCAGCATTTTCTTGTTTCATTTGTTTTAAATCAGCAGACACACGCTCTAAGTTAGCTCCAACATTCTTTGCGCTTTCAATCTCAATCTGAAAAATCAAAATCCATGCATCACAACGAGAATAATAGTGTTAACATGCTATACACCATGTCAACAATAAAATACATGAAATGGGATTGAAAGTCAACCTTAGAACCTTTTATATACTTCGCAAATATTAGAAAGATATTCAAACATTCATTCATTCATTCACCATTTGATTGTTCATTCATTACACCACAGTCTTGAAAATTGGATTGGAAAGTAATAATTAGAATTATCTTATTTGCTTTAAACCATTAGCTTCAAAAAGGAAAAAATAATAATATTCAAACTGACTCAATTAGACAATGGAATATAGTGAAACTCCATTAATTTTATACATGTTGCACTTAATGATTTTCACAATTATTTGTTGTTCTGAAGTCCCAGTAGTCAGATAATGACATAGATGAACAATAAGGAAGAACAATATCATCATCCTAGAGAAGACAAGGAATCTGTGATTGGTTCAAGAGTTCAGATTGTTTAGTTTTGTTGGTAGGTTCAACAAAGGGATTTTCCTCTTTTTTGTTGTGTGTTAATTTCAAATATGTTTTCTGTGACTCTTTCTTAAAGCAAGATAACAAACTTCAGTAACCTCAATAAATTTGAAGCATATTTAAATAAATAAGAAAAATAAATTTCTATCTTGAAATGAAAACCTAAAAACTTAGGAACAAGTAGTGGCAAACAACTAATAGTCAGACTTTCAAATTACAGTTATTGCTGGAGAATTGCTTCTACAATAAAAATAACTGTTTTTTATTGAAATGCTAATACCTGTTCTTCCAAATCACGGATTTCTCTAACAGTGGCCCCTGTTTCTTCCACCATTTGCACTAATTCACTACAATCTGAGTGCAAGGTTGCTAAAAGCTTGTAAGCTCGGCGTGCTACTTCATCCTTCTTGGCATCCTTAACATAAGAATACAAAAAGAAGCATTAAATTAGATAACTTAATGTCATACCACATAGCTTAACATTTTTTTGGCGATCGAAGAGGTGATCAAATTCTTTGAAATATCAAACTACATCCATTCCCTGATGGAATTACATTTTTACATGACTACATTTTACTTTCCTGTACACATACTCTATTATGTGCAATTTGAAGATGTGTAGTAATATACATTGGATAGGGAAAGTTATGTAATGCTGCAGAACATCGATTTTGATATTTCAAACGAAATATGGATCTGGCTCGACTCGAGGCGCTGCGATTTTGAAAAACTTTCTTCAAAATTTGGGGATGCTTTTTCATTAAGCCTTAATTTCATTAAGCCTTAATTTCATTAAGAGGAAAGCATGAAATATGTCAATAAAGTAGAAAACAAAAGCATCAACAATCAATGCATAAAAAACTAACTGATAACATAATGGTTGAGAAGAAGCTCACAATAAATATAACAAACAGAACTACAAAACAATACACAAAACACAGAAAACCAGAGAGGAGGGAGGGAAAGTTCTGGCCCTCAAGGTGTGTTAGTGCGCTGCTTCTCCAGACCACAGGAAAATCAACGAACTATCAAACTTGCTAATATACTTCAAAAATCAAACTACAGACAACAGTCCTGGAATGCGTATGTGATACCATTGAAGACCAAGGGGAAAAAAATTGGGAGTCAAGATAGAATCAAAACAGTAAAAGGGAAGAAAGAAAGACACAAAAAGAGAGAAGAAATAATAAAGATAGCAACATGGAATGCTAGAGAAATAATATAAAGAAAATGAACTTGAAAGAGAGTTAAAAGAAAGGAAAATAAAACCCTAAATAATAAAAGAAACACAAAAGAAAAAGGTAGATTCTGACCCCTACTTCATAGTATACTGAGGAGTAGATGACAAGAGATCCAATGCAGGAGTAACAATACTTACTAGGTGGACCCATGCAAACATTCCGCAATTAAAATGCAACAAAAATTAACTTCAAAATTCTCATCCAATTTCTCTTTCATCAGTTTTCTCAAAGATATTAGAAAGCCTTTTCACACTCTCAACATGGATTTCGAAAACTAAAATCTACAGCCACGTTTTATTTTCTTAAATATGTTGCTTTATCAATGAAACAACATGAAGCAGCTACTAGAACATTTTTAGAACTTTCTAAATCGTTTCATATTATTGACTATTATAACATTTTGCTTTCAAAATTATCTCCATATGGAATTTGTGATATTGGATATCATCGTAACTTAAATGCTGATAGTGAAGAGTAGAAATATCATACTGGCACAAAAAATCAATAACTCAGTTGTCCAATTTTTTGTTAACTGAGCATGGGATCCCACCCTGTTTTATCTTACACCCTATCCTCTTTCTTTTAAACATGAATGATATGCCCCAGTTCATTAGAAACAGAAGCATGTCTAGATCTGTTTGCTGATGATACAAATGTTTTCTGCAAAACAGAAACAACAAGTGGTATGATTTCAGATATGTCAAATTAGTTTTGTTCCAACAAATTAATACTAAACTAAAGAAAAACAGTTTCAATGTGTTTTTGCATTTCAAAGTAGTAATCAGATACACCATTATAAATGAACAAAATGCAATTAGCTGATGTTATGATAACAAAATTTCTGTGAGACTCAATTCAGTGAAACCCCAAATGAAATATCTGTAAATATGAAATGAACATTAAATGAAGTTAATTATGGTACACATTTACAATGCTTTGAAATTTAGTCATCCTTTGTGCAGCTTGTTACATGCATTTTGCAAATGAACATTACCACATGAGATAAGGCATAATATTCTGATGAAACACATCCTGTGGAAGTCAGACTTTTAAATTGCAGAAAAAAATTTACAAATAAAAACAGTGCTGAATTAAACTGCCAAACTAATTACCATCCAAGTTGCAGCTTAAGAGTGAGAAAGGAAGTGAATACTGTAGTATTAATGTGTTGCCCTTCCAATCCTAAGATGGTTAACAAATATCTTATACCTAAATTCAATCAATTCCTCTTAGTTAATCCAGACAAAAATGATAACAGAATCATCACTGATTTCTTGATATTCCTGATTCACTGTCATCTACTCCTAATTTCTCAATTTACCCCAGAAACTGTTTGGACAGATGGGTGGAGGAGTAATATATGTGAGGGATGTGATCAGTTAGGCAAAAGTGACACAGGTTCATGAACTTAAAGGGCCTATGGCTGCAATATAAAATTTTCAATTGCAGCAAAATTGTGTTAACTAATGATGACGATGTTATTACCCCTCATGTTCTGAGAGCACATTAAAGCCTAAATGAGCACTTGGTCATTGTCACAGGTCTTCAAGCTGAGGTATATACTTTTGGAGAAAAGAAAGAAAACAACTCGATGAAATGGAACAATTTTAGAGTAGACGAGGACAATTGAAGCACGATTTAATGAACAGTGCATGGGATGGGGTGAAGTGTAATAATCTGGAAATCAAATATGAGATTTTGTGATGTGACACAAAAATTTCTTAAATCACACTCACATATAACCAAACATAAGAGGAGTCAAAATAAAATCTGGACCACGTACAATTCCCTGAATAACATAATATAAATAATAACCATTATTTAATAAATAAATAAATAAAAATAAATAAAATAGAAATAATATTCATGCGATTCCTGCACGTCTCTCTTCACAGAGCTTGGAACCTTACCATTGCCTTGCTTATTTATTTACAAATCTGTAGTTTTGTCAAAACTGAATGACTTAGAGGATGGGAACATATTTGCATGCTATTCAGATATTTATAATTACAACACATATAGGAATCTCACTCATCAGGTGTCAGTATCAACAGCTCACTATGAGAAATCCACAGATAATACATGTACATTACTTTACTACACAATGCCAGATGACATTAAACAATTAAAATTGACACACAAGTTTAAGCACAAAGTTTTCTGCTGCACTACTGTTTCTCTACAAATAAGGACTTACCGACCATCAAAACTGGAAATATTGTAATAATGATCTTCAATGCATTAGTTAGAATTTGTACTGAACATGTTAAAAAAGGATTAAATATGCCTATAACAAGTACATAACTTCTGGGTCAATGACCCCATCTCGATCAGTTTTTTATCCAGTTCCCCTGATCAATTGAGTAAAAGCTGAGAGAGTCCCTTGCTTAGCTTCTCAACAAAAAATGTAGCTTCACTAAACATGTTTTATTTAGTTCTCCTTTTGCTAGTAGTGGTAAGAGTCAAGCTGGTGATGCAGGTTGCAATTTTGATACTAATCATAAAAAAAAATAATTATAGTTTGTTTACCAATGCACCTCAGTTTTTTATAAGTGGGGAGAGAAAATTTCAAGTTTTCAAATGTTGCTATTCTCACTTTGTTGGTACTTTTATTAATCGCTCAACTACACATAGTAAATAGGTGGGGGGACAAGACTCTAAAGCTCAAGAAAATATGAACAGATTATAGTCCTCTTCAAAAGTCACATACAGTTTTTCCCATTCTTTGATGAAAAATAAATCAAATCACATCTAATATAAAAAATTTAAAAATTCATCTAATAGAAGAACCAAATATCAGAACTTTACAAGACAGAGAAAAAAAAGAAGAAAAAACATAAGGAAAGAAAAATTCTTTTTCATCATTAAGCGAGATACTTATAAACAATTTTCATTGGGAAAGAAAAAATTTTAACGGTTTTGGTCACCAAAAATGCCCTATTATAAGAAATTACAACATTTGTCAGAAATGCATTTAAGTAGGTAAAAGGAAAATTCATATAGCTCTAGGACTGTCAGTAGTGGCAACAGATATTATCTGCCACCAGCTTGAAAACACATGGCCTACTCATTTCTTAACAAACTCCCTGAAAACGTATTATTGTAAACCTTACATTAGCATTATTGAGAAAACATTGAATGTTCACTTTCCTTTAAGACACCAATCAAAGTGTGGATATCAATAATATGTAACTGAATATTCCTTTGAATTACAAACTATATGTGGCAAAAAATTTCAATTTCACATGAAGTCCTAATGTGAGAGACTTACTCTAAAAATACGTTCATCTGCATCAGTAAAAGAGCGATCTAATCTTCCAGTTAAATTATTGATTTCTTTCTGCAACTCTCTGGTATCATTTATAACTTTATCTATTTCTTCCTTCTGCTTCCGAATATTTCCAATAATTTCCATTATTCGACGAGTATATGCAGATCTGAAATAAAGCCAAAAGCAATAAGCAAGATAAGATTGAATTGCTAATGAATAAACAGAAAAAAGTTCTGACTTTATAAAAATATAGTAACAATACAGGTATTTCAGAGGAAATGTAAATATTTTGGGAGGACACAGGATTTGACATTGTAAGCAAGAGTTTATGTGAAAACATGACCAATTCTGAAAATAAGAGATAGTTGACTGTAAAAGTCTCGGTTTTGTTTCTAAATATTGCCTTTTACTCCCCCTCCTCAGCACCAGTTTCTGAAGCATCTTATTCCACGAAATGTCAAGTTGGTCATTTTGAACATTGGTACTACATTGTAAGCGTGTTGTAGAAAATGCTGCCCATCTTCAAAATTAGAGAATATGCTGGTACATTGAACATAGGGACCTTTGTGTTGGTAGTGCCACTGCTGTTGGTAAAAAATACAGTTGACAGTTTCCTCTGCACTGAATTCCAGTTAATAGAGCATTTCCTAATACGTTCAGGACATTTCGTGAACATGGTAGGCTACCTTTCATCTAGGTAAGGCTTGTCTTTCATCCCAGCAGCACATCAACATGTTCAGAACAGGAAAAACATTATTCAAAAAGCAGAGCATAGCTTCCAAGTAGTACTCAAAGACTATGGTCACCGCAGTGTTTCATGAAAATGTGTTTGAAGTGCGAAGTGGTGCCTCTAAGAGAGGGATACTTCCCCTCCACCACTTTATACACATGCACAGTCAAAGTTTTTTTTTCGAAGTGGTCGAGCTATAATAACCAATTTCTTCCATTCATACTGCATACTGACAAAGATACTTTCATATGTAACCATCAACACGCACTCAAACAAACAACAGAGCTGATACTTGAACAAAGTTAAAAGTGCATTGATGTGGACAAAATTTTCATCTGTCAAGGAAATTTTCGAGGATGTTTTGTAATATGTAAACTATACCACGTATATAATTTGAAAAATTAAGGGGGGTACATTCAATTATCTAATGGTAAATTTTGTGGTTCTTATATAATTTCTCTTTGCTAAACTTACAAGCTATTACCATAAATTTTTCACTATGTATAAATAACCATTCAGAGAATAAAAAAATATCAGTTTGAATAAAAATTATGATTATAACAATCTTAATTAACAATGTTAAATGTACACTACAACAATGCTTCTTTCCATGGCTTCTCTAGTAACACAAGTTGTAATCAATATTTAATACTTTTATTTGGAAATGAAGGTAGAAGACCAAGTTTCAACATTTACTACAATCATAAAACTAATTCTGAAAACATTTTAAAAATATTATTCCATTTGTTATTTACATTATTTACTTTTTGAAATAATTACAAATTCATATTGTCTACAATTTTCAATATAAAGATTTCATTCAAGTAAATGTTCATGTCAAAATGTAGAACGTTTCCAGAAAATTTTGAAGAAGATCCATTAATGAGAAAAAAGTTATCTGGGAAACCATTTCAAAAATAGCCATTTTGAGAAAAATGTATGTTAAAATTTGAAAATCATTTTACAGTATATTAGAAGGGCGTGTGTTGCTTAAAACTGGCCAGATCCATAAGTGAGTCCTCCTTCCTTTTCTGTGCTTCAATATCCAATTTGAGCCTTTTCCTTGCTTTTCTTGCCTCTTTTGTTCACAATTTTGTTTTTTCTCTGATGAGCACACTCTTCGGACATCCTCATTCTTCAAGCACTTGATCGTGTAATAATGTCACATTGGTACTGCCAGTCTTTCCATTACTTTTTCTTAGGCCCATACCATTGTTAAAAGTATTAACACTATCTTAATGCCAATTTCAACAATTATGTTTCCAAAAAGCCAGTCTTAGGGCACACTTTCAAAATATTGGAATGGAATGTACATTTCCCATTTTCATTAACATTTTGCGTCATACCACCAATACCTTTTTAGGAGATTTGGGTCACTTAGATCTTGGAATTTATAGCTTACTTGAGTGCCACTGGTACATTGTTTTTGTGTCTGTTTTTTATATGGGTACCAGGTATCTGGTTCTTTAGGGCAAAGAGAATGCATTGGTTTCTCATCTGTTGAGCTCTTGTGAAACCACACGGCTCACACAGCATGTTTCATGTCTTCAACAGAGGAGCTATTTGGGCTTATTGCATTACCATAATAAGAAAGAAGTGTTGTAATGACACTATCTGTCAAGTGGAATAATAATAATAATAATAATAATAATAATAATAATAATAATAATAATAATAATAATAAAAAAAGAAATAGAAAATAGTAACAAAAGAATAACAAAGTATGAGAAATTCCTAGTTCAAACATACAACATACTAGTATAAGAAATTTACAACTCAAAAGGTTATAAGTAAAAGGAGAATAAAATGACACAATGGATCACTCGAGTTCAGGAGTGGTGGAGATGTGGAATGTTGTGGTAATTAGGTGTGGAGAGAAAGTCTTGTGTTTTATTGCTGTGGTGGTGAGAGGGGAGGTGAGGTGACAGAGTGAAGCAGACGAGATGGAGAGCAGTGATATACATTAGAAAGAGGTGAGGCATGATGCGGTGGTGTGACAAGGGAGGTGAGCAGAGGTGTGAAGACGACACGTGAGGTGAGCTGAGTTAACAAATCTGATTTACGTAAAGAAAAAGGTGAGACTTCGGTTTTTCAACGAAGCTGATTTTGACTTCTTGTAGTTTTGCATTATTACAACATGTCTAGACATGACTTTAAAGTATCAGATAATTCATCTGTTATCTACACTCTGGCTTCTAGAGCTGCAAAGCAGTCCAATAAGGAAGGCGAAAGGGAAGAAAGCTCCAAGAAGTGGAGAGAAAGGAGAAATAATAATTATATAAATGCTCTTTAAGAAAGACAAGAGATTAATCTGGACATGTAACCATCAGAAATAGAATCCTAAGAGAGAAAAATGTGAAGAATATTACAAATACATTGTTGTTTCTATTTTTGGGGAGGAAATAAAACTGATTTTGAAGGGAAAACAGTTTCAATGGTTTGTTTTTTTAATTCTGAAAATGAACAATAAAGGATCTATTGTTTACCAATTTTTCTTGTTTTTGTATATTTTTTTAATTAAAAAATGTGGAGCAGTATAATTGTGAATATCTCTTGACACTGCGAAGCTTATGCCAATTAATTAATTGCCAAAGAATAAAATGTGACAATGTATCCACAATTCAATTTTCTATACACCAAATATGCATAGCACATCTCTAACAATAATGTAGTAATTCATACCTTTTGGTATCCTTAGATATTGACTCATATTCTGCAACTAACTGAGAATGCAATTGTTCTTTACATCTTATTTCATCACTTAATTCTCGCGCTTTTTCTTTCAAGGCACGTACAGCATCAGCTTGTTTCTGACTTTCTGACTGAAACATGAAATAAAATTCGAATACATCTGCAATATAATAACACCTTCTGTAACAATTCAACTACCTATTAACCAATGCATACCATTACTATGTACAAACAGAGAACAACTGGACCCTATCAACACACTAACGGAACAAAACATTATTTAAATAAAATTCATATCAGATGAAGTTCAGTATCTGCTTGGGGTACAACAATGTAGATTTGGATGTAGTGTTTTAGCTTCAGTCATAAGGAGGTAGGTTTTCTCTTGGTCCAAGATAATGGATACTTTAACAAAAATTCCTAGAGCTCCTAAGATGCAATGTAATAATGAGCCCAGTACCTTTGCCCAATCACAAGGACCAACCACATTGAAATGAATTTCAGTACCTCTAGAAAGAGAAGAAATGCTAAATAGTCAACACTTTTGTGTAACATATTTTATGTTGAGTAAAACTTCAAATTAATGGAACCTAATGTTCGGCTCGCATAATACAAATGATGTTAAAGTTTTACATCACTTTGGATGGTTGTGAAAGTTGCTTGAAGTTTTGTTGTACATCTCACAGATATGAATTAAGCGTAAACTCAAATATATTGGTTAGATTTGGTACCAATAAGTGAAGGTCAACAAGACGAACTGAAGCCATGCTCAAGTGCAATCCTATCTACTGAAAAATTTGCAATAAAAGGTTTGAGGTCGATGGAGATGTGCTAGCAGTGAAGCCGTCAAATGTTCATTTTCAATTGAAAGATTTTTCATGGTACAGCAAAAATAATTTTATTTACTAATCATTTTCATTTCACATTATGGGATTTGAGGTCTTTTGAAGAGCATTCTCACAATGAATAAAATATTAATCGCAAACAATATCCTGTTGAACATATCGAGCATGTTGATTTTAATTACAATGCTAGAAAATTAAAATGCTCATTGCTACAAATAACACTGTATTAATAGCTAAATGTACGAATTCAATATATGACCATTCTGAAATAACGTAACCTGAAAAATAAAAATCTTCTACCTAATTATAACAAAACGTAAGAGAAACTAATTTAATATTTGTTGAAATAATTAGCTTTAAAAGAAACTTTACTTCATATTTTTCTGTCTCTTAAGAAGTCACAATTTTTTGAGACATTTGTTGTTACAATTGAGCCACAAGTATGACTATAGGGGGGGAAAATCTGTGTTTACATTCCATTTCTGTTTACCTACATAAGTTGTTTCTTTCAAAATTACATTTGACTCATAAGCTCACATTGCCCGATTGCCTACACTGTCTAACAAGGTCACCAGATCTTAATAATCATATCTGAAATGATGTGGGTTTAATAGAGAAACAGAATCGAAAGTTGCAAGAAGTAATCAGTAATGAGTCTGAGCATTAGTGTATGATCTCGTGACATTTCATGCATCCTACATGAGAAGAGGGGATATAAACCATAGTAGATTTGTCTTGCAATGAACAATTCATTTACAAATTAAGCAAACTTTAGCAATTCTGAGCTGTTTTTGAGAAAATTTGGAAAATGTCCCGGAGAGCTTCATGAAGAGTACTCTTAAAAAAAAAAAAAAAATCCATTCCTAAATTGAAGGGCTGAGTCATCAGTCAGATCAATCACAGAATACATCATTTTGGATGAAATCCTGTATACAGATAAGTAGCTAGTGTTGTTCACAGACACACAAGACATAAATTCTGACTACACCATGTGTAGAAGATACAAAATTCACAGAACAATGAAAAATCCAATTTTTTGGTATCAGGGACCCACAAAATTAGTTTTTCCTTTTTTTTTTCTTGTAGTAATACATAACTTCCTCTTACTATGACATTATGGGGATGAGAAAGAGCTAAATATCAGAGGTTCTTTGTAAGCATGGTACCATTCAAAAACTAATAATTTTAATCATTTATATGAAGCAAACCAGTTTCCATAGGTTTTCCTTAAACTTACTCAAAAAATGTGTGTTCATTGGTACGATGAATTCAATGGTGTAAGTACTATGTACTTTACTATGTACCTCTGAATACTTTTCCGTTCTTTTGTTTGTTCGTTTTTCCTTTTTTTCAAACACGTAAAACATGTATGTCACATGTGTAAATGAAATAGTTCAATACTAACTATACTTCTTTATATATGTTTTGAAAACATGGAGAAGAAAAAAAAGAAAAACGAAAGAAGAAAAAATACCATGTACAATGCATTTAAAATGTTAGAAGGTCCAACAGTTTCCCTTCACTAATCAGGTACTGTGCAAAACCTCAGAAAAATCGTTTAAGAAATGGATATTTTAAAATAATTATTGGACTTTTGTTTTCGACATGTGTTAAATGAAATACGACTGTTCACAAATTACTGTAGCTCTTATTTTACCTCCTATCCCTTACTTTTGCTTTCCATCTTCATAAGACAGAAACATCAAATTGTACATGACTCATTAAATTTGAGATTGTTTTCTTTTTAAATTGACTAATATTCAACTAAATTAGCCCCCAAATAACACAAATAACAAAAAATTAAATTTTGCCTCAAATACTGATATATGTATGATTTTAAAATTGAGAGCCGATTTTGAACATATCATGGATGTTTCATCATCCTCTTACAGTGGATATTAATAACCTTTATAGATATGCACTTACTTATATTTTATTGTCTTCCAACATTCTTGTGTTTACAAACAACATTTCTTTCTAATAGTAATTGAAACCAGATTAAACAAAAAAGAAAAACGAATGTATGTATTTTGCTTATAGATTAGACTCATTTCCATATTCATTGAAATGCAATCCTGTAGTTAGTGAACATTAAAGGTCATAGAGCTATTTTTTTTTCTTACCGAAGAGGAATAATTCTAGTAAAAGTTTAGAAATCATCAACAAAAATAGCATAGTGAGGCATCATATTTCCACACATTGTAAACATGTTATCTAACCAATTCTTTACCAGTACGAGAAAAAACTCAAGGACAAAAAGATAATGATAACACTTGCACAAGACTTGTGATCACCCATATATAATGGCTATTCCAAAATCAACCTCTGACTAGTTATAGAGATAAGTCAAACATAGCAAATATACTACACACAAAACTTACATAACAGCACCTACATAGGCATCACCGAAACTCTGGCACTTGTATTGTGGGAAAAGCTTTTGCAATCTCTCATCAAAGAACGATGCTGCCAAGGCACATTCTGTAACAATTCAAAGCCCACTAGTCCTCAAAAAAGAGGATATTTTTCAGGGACACCTGAAATTGTGAAATGACACTTGTCACACACAATTAGGTTGACATCCCAATTGATTTCATTAGGGTACTGCGCAACCCTCATTCCATTTCATTACAAATGACCTTAAATGTTCTGAACTTACCATCAGAACTGTTTTGCAGAATCTCTTGTTGTGTACATGTTATGGATTTTTCAAGCAAATATCCTTATTATGAAAATCAAGTCTGAATGAAGACTTAGCATTTGGACATGACAAAGTTAGTGATCAATAGACTGCTACCTGTTTACAAATAAATAGAACTAACAGGCTGTAGGACAAGGTAGTAAAAAAATCTTGTCCCAGTTACTTTCCTATGACAATTAATTCATTATTTTTCCACATCATCTGAAGCTGATTTTGGAATAGCTGATGTGTGTAACTGTAACTAGAGATTGGAAAAAAAAAAGACATGCAAGATTTCTATTGCTGACTTTATCATACTCCCTCCCATATATTTTCCATTAATACTCTATGAAGGCAAAAAGAATCGTAAGGTGGAAGCAGATTACGCAACTTAAATCACAGGCCAGTTTTGATCTGTTATTTAACATCTTTCATATCTTTCTTTAGAACAATATACTCACAGCTTTGTTGGAATTTCGCTCTTTAGCTCCTCTGTATTGCTCCAAAAGAGGAGCTCTATGTTTCTCCCACTGTGCTGCCAAACTAACTAGTTTTTGTGCACTCGACTCTACCATGGATTGTAGTTTACTAAGATTAGCTTCAGCATCAGGTAATAAATCATACGTTCGTTTTTTCACAGCATACCGTTCTTCCAGTTCTTTTAAAGCCTTCTCTTCTCCAGGCAGATCTTCATTAAGCTGAAATCAAAGAATGAACAACAGTCAGAATAATGATATTAGATAAATTGAACAAAGTTACAAGTTAAGAAATTTTCCATCCAGAACTCCAATTGTCTAATTATATTTAGGCACTTCAATGACTATTTGAATACGGTAGCTTCCTGGCAGATTGTAACACATAATACATGACAAATCACCATAAAATTCACCAAAAGCAACCATATTTGATTATCTATAAACATGATTTGAGAACTTTTGTAATAAAACCAATATATTTACAAGATTACCAGTTGCACACTTCATTTTCTGTTTAAAAAAGGAACCTAAACAACACAGTCTATACAAAATGGAAAACATGTAAATTATTTACATAAATCCTCTTGGACAAGAAAACTGACACATTCTACTAGTAACAAAAATACCATTATAAATTAAATTTCCTACAATTACACAAGTGGATACATACAATTAAATAATTGTCTAATTGCTATAATATAAACCAATCTACCATAATGACTATAGAAGAATATAAGTACACTCTTTTTATAATGTTATTTCACAATTGCAGGTAAAATTTTTCAATTTAACATATATTTTACTTTAAAATAGAAGACTCCTAGAACTATGACTACTTTTACAAAGGCAAGAAGGAATGGATGTTAACAACAAATTCATCTTTTAAGAGCATAGAAGAGCTTACTTCACACAAACAAAGGCACATGTGACTATCAAATGTTTAATATCACAAATGCCTTTTATGAAATAACCCAACAATTTATTTAAAAAAACTCACACTAGATTTTACAAGAATAAATAAGTACTTTCTCTCCACAATCTGAGTGTTTAGCAGTAATTCCAGACAATTAAAAGCAAAGTTTAAAATATAATAAGCATTATGAAATAATTAAAAGTAGAATAGACACTACTCTTCAAATGTTAAAAAAGTTGATAAACACTTGAATTTTTCTTCTCTGGTTAAATATAAAAGTGTTACTTTCTGCTAAAATAAATACATGCTTACTTCAAACTGTGGTTAACTGAATTTAGTACTTTGTTGGCTCCAGATGGAGAAGATCAATTGGTAAAACAATAAATATATAAACATTTTTAAGGATAAGAGGGAAAGAAACAACAAATACGCAACCCCAGTTGAACCATACACGTTTGCTGACATACTAATAGTTGTCAAAGAGATCATTTCCACACAAGTGTTCACTCTTCTTTAAAAACATTTTGTCCTTCAGACTATGAAATGTGCTTCAAATGTTGTTTGATGGATGTTATTGATATCTTACAAAGACACTATTGCATGAAACATCTCCAATAATATACTTCACTTCATAGGCTTCTGAATCAGTAGTTCCTCATCACATCAGTAAGTTGTTAGGCATAAAAAGTAAGGAACAAGGTAGAGAGCTGTAGTCCACGCATTGCTCATTCAAGGGCTTCAGCAAGTGGATATTCTAGTAGAATTGGTCAAGTAGCATTGACCTTGAATCTATAAAATCCTGTAGCACATTTTCATTCTCTCTCAAATCATCATCATCTTGCTAGAATGTCACTCAAGCCAACCCGCCAAAGATTTCTAAAGATGCATAATATAACCAGTGCATGAATATAAGTATACAGTTTCATCTATACTAACCCAATATTCACAACTAATACAGCACAGTTAAAAGTAACTGAAGAAAAGCCACCTTTGTAAACAATACAAAGATTTGGGTGTACAAAATGACATCTGTCAAAATGTTAGTTTTGTGATGCACAATTTTCGGGTTCTGCCATCAGTTGTCCATGCAATGAGATACTGAAGTAGTTCAACTGATGGCTCTTAGGTGGTTTCTGGTTGCTCCAAAAGCTTTTCTGAGAAGGTTATCATATTTTACACCCAAACCCTGCAACCAATGATATTTCTTCTTCAACCAGGAAGCATTGTCAAAAATACTCTCACAAGATAAACTTACGAGATGTTTCAGCCTGAGGAAATCCTAAACATTTCAATATTAACAACGTAATTGGCTGTAATATACTTTTTTCTCAGAAAAGTTTTTTTTTCTTGGTTCCTAAATTCTATACCTATGGAAAGAGCCCAAAGCAAATACAAATTTGCAATTTTATATTGTATAAGAGAAAAAAGTAATATTGATTATTAAATGAAAATGACTAAAGATATAATGTGGCAATTACATTGCCCATCAACACTTTTCAAGTAGGAGGAAAAGAGTCCAATGCTGCACAACAAATTTGGTTTTCACTTAATAAGAGGTAAAATGAAAACTGCAAGTCCTTTTGAATATTGGAGAAAATGTCCATGCCCCAAAACTGGGCTTCTTAATTATGTTTTTTGAAACTGTAAGCCATGAGTAATTATGTTAACAGTTGAGAATAAAACAATATAATTAAGAACAAACTCAGTTTGCTTCGTTTCTAACATTACAGGCACTAACATTTGATGCACAAACGTGTACTCATTAGAAATCAATGTCTCAATGTTGTTTAAACTTATAATTTGGACAATGCAAGATAAAAATTGTTTTTATTCGAATTCTAAGCTTTCCTATCCTTTACATTTTATTTGAACTAAATATTCTGTCAGAGTTCTAAGTTCTTTCCTGTTGGGTTAAGCAACAGAAACTTTAATCATTTGATGTGTGATGAAATGAAACAGTCTCATATTCAATTTACCAGATGCAGTGAAAGCACAACGATTTAGTATGAGCACAAAGGGAAAAATTTTGAAGAAAACTAGTTTTGTCATGTACCATAGGTGCTCAGATCAATGTCCAAGTATTTCATTTTTTTACTTCCTATCTTCTTTCCAACTGCCCCAAAACAGGGCAATAATACATATAAATCACAAGTTCATCTTCAGAAGAAACATTGGAAGAAACCAAAAAATTCACAATTTTTCTGAAACTAACATCATGAATTAAGTATTACTCATTAAATTACAACTTGCAGAGAGTACGTATAAAAACCAAGGTACATATTTCTTTAAGTCAAATCAATACTACTAATCTTATTACCTGAGCTAATTTTGCTGAAAGTTTCTTGACACTGAGAAGAGTTTCCTTTGTTACTTCAACAAAATTTTCAACTTCTTCTCGAGTTTTCTCCAATTGTTCTTCCTCCTGCTTTTGTTTCATAAGCGCAACAGAAGTTGGATCAGTGCGAATATCATCCAAATTCTGAACTGCTGTGGTAACCTGCAGATAACAGGAACATATTACAAGAAATAATATTAATAATAGATGCCGAGTCTTATTGCTGTAACGAATGGATGAATCATTTAAGGTGATTATAGAGATGTGATATGAATGTCTATGGAGCAATAGTAGAATGAGAGACGAGGGAAACAGACAACAGAAAACTTTCTAGAAACCCACTTGATCCACCAACAACAGGGTCACTTCAGGAATATTTGTTTTAAAGATAAAATTTCTATTCTTCTGATTTTAACAGTACAAGCAGAAACTTCATGAATTATCATGAGTATTATCAAAATGTTTTAAATAATTGTACTTATTAGAGTAAACTGTTCAACTATCATGCAATTATTCAAACAGGAATAACATAGTACACACCTGTGAGTTCTGAAATTTGTCACTTAAAGCAGATTGGTTGAGTTTTGATTTCTCTCCCGAGTCATTCACGTACATTAACTGTCGACTAAAATCCAACTGAGAAGATTTCTCCACATCTTGTACTAAACATGTCAACAACCGCTGAGGTATTTTTATACAAATACTTTCACTTGGCACGGACAATGACAATCTTTCTTTCAGAGCAATAGATTTCTCATTAAAATTAATCAAAGATGGCACAAGCTGTCTTCTATTTGCTACTTGTTCCGTCACCAATGGCAAATAGCGAACGTAATACTCACACCACGCTATAAAAAAATAACATTATAAAATCTTTAATTCAGTTATAACTTAATTAAAATACATGTATAAAAGCAAAATATAGATCAACCTTGCGAGACATCATTTTTTAAATTAACAGTCTTCGGAATGTTTAAATCACAAGATGAAAACGGCTGGTGGTGACCACATCCCTCTCTACTCCATGATCCATCTTCTCTCCACCTAACTCCTCTTCGCCAACAGTAACTAGGCAACCAAGGAGATTGCAACTGTTTTCTCAACACTTCACCGATTTGTTTTAACAAAATTTCTGTTCTACCTGTCAAGTGAAAAGGTAACAAAATTAATTAACAGTAAATCAAAATGATAATGTGCATATAAGCACTAAACGGGATCTTACTTGGAGACTAATGAACATAACATATAATTTAACTACCACTTCAAACAATTTTACAACTACCGGGTCTGAGCATTTCATTTGGGAATAGAGAGCCATAAAAATGCTTCACATTTAGCAAAGAGTGCATTTTCTAAACAATTTGAAATACGTTTCCAATAAGAAACTGACATTTTTCATTCAGTGTTTGGATATGAAATGTAGGATAAACTAATGTAAAAATTAGGTTTCCACAACCTCACCTCTGGCAACCATTCTTGCTCAACAAAACAGATCAGGAAAAGAATTGAGGGAATGCTACAAAATATTAAAGAATGAATAATTCTGAAAATAACATGTGTGGCAGAAAGCAGGTAGATAAAAATAAAGAAACAATGCAAACATGAACAACTTGGTAAACATTTAACTTGGTATCATGTATTCCATATTGAGTAACCAAGACAACTGCACAGATGTATTCGCAATTCTTGTTCTAAAAAATGTTTCTGTTTCATACAAGCATTGCAGAATACAGTAAAATAAAATCTGAACATTCATTACAGCTCATTTATTTTGCTCTGATTGACATCCGATACATCTATTGGTCTGATTACAACTATACATATGCGTATTTACACTCATATGATATCTACAATATATATCACAAAAGACTATCTTAGTATTTTTAATTTTGCTAAAGCTGCAGAAACAATCAACCTAGAGAAGAATTTTTTAACAAAACAGGAATGTAAAATTTTGAAATCTTAACAAAATTTCCATTTTATTACAGAAGATTTGACACAAAATCAAATACTAGATTTCTAAACACAATTTAAAAACGTATGTGAATTAAGTGAAAGCATAAATTGCAGCAATAAAAGTTATACACTGTTTGAGCTACTAATAACTGAACTAGAAACATTGGTCATTTAGATATTAATTTTGATTCTACAAGGAAATAAATATTTTTCAATCACAGGTCTCTATCCCAAACATCATGCACCTTTTCCCTCGCAAGAACAACCTCCTGGAGAAGAATAACCATTATCTTAATATAAGCATGACCATACAATATACAAAAACTAGGCATTGCCATTGATATTCACGGATTTCAATAGTGATTAAAAATCATATATAAAAATATATAATCTTGATCAACTCATTTCTATACACTAGAACACTTTCACAAACTAAGAGAGAAGGAAACTAAACAGGTGTACATGAGCACAATTTCTCTTCAAGTAGTTTTGTTTCCTACTTCCATCCCTTGTTTAATGCAGTCTGTCTTTAAATGGAAGACAAGCACCCAAAAATATTGACAGAGAGGCAATAACAATATGATATTCAACATTTGATCTCAAAATATGATATATAAAGTATTTCTATTACAGAAAGTCCTTTCTATGAAAATTTCGTTTTTACACACACACACACACAAACCACAGGAAAACATTAATTTAATCACAAATTAATAACACTCAAATTTACACTTGATACATATCTAATTCTCATTGGAGCACACTATTCTTGAAAGAAAATTAACAATAACAAGGAGGATATTCATTTATGGAACAAACCTGCAGGCTCAATTATACTTTTTTCAGCTTCTTTTGGCAATTTCTCTATTAGGAACATAAAAACCCTGCGTACATCTGCTTCATTTGAGTATAAGAAAGTTTGATATCCCATCTCTCCAGGGTATCCTAAATCCTGAAGCATTCAAATACAAACAAAGTCATATATATAAAATAAAAACAGTTTGTTTAACTTTGTCAAGAACATGATATACTCCCGAATAACAAAGGATTAATTTGAACACATTTTACTACATTAAACAAATTTCTTACCACACAAGCTTGAGCAAGACTTGCACCAAGTCGAAATCTTGCCGACATTGAAGGCGGTAATGAATGTGGCAATCCTAATTGGGGTTGGATAATGTCCAAACATTTTACAGCAGCTTGAACTACTAGTTCAGGAGAAAATAACTTCAAGCTATCTATTTCATCTTCAATATCACTGAAATAACATACATCAATATTTCATTTAGCAAGAAACTTTAAAATGTATGTTAAGTATTATGCTATTTCTTTATGAAGGTGACATGAACAAATTTACAAAATAAATCATGGTGAAACTTTATAAATGAAAGCTCAGACAATATCTGAAAGTGTTGGATTATGTTATTTTATTTGTTTGGTAATTTCACTAACAGCTTCATATGAACACGAATGTTGAGCTTATATTTATGAAATATCAATCACGATTTTCAACAGAAAGTAATCATGCTACAAATGAAAACTTTGACTAACTATTGCAAAGAGGCAAAGTAACAATCTAAATACCAAGTGTGAATTTGTATTACATCAATTAAAGGAAATTTTCATTAATGACAAATATGTTGGTATTAATGGATAACTTGTAGCACAGTGTTTGATGGCAATAAAGCGTCACTAATATCCACATCACTGTACTAAAATTTTACATAAACCTTTGGGCACTTGAAATGTTTATCGGGTAATATTCTAATCGCAAGTTTTCACTGCAACAACACTATCAAACTGACCCAATGTTGCCGTACCTATGACATAATATAACCTCAAAACGAAACATACCACATTACACATCACAAGAAATTACGTGAAGACGGTATTAACGCTGAAATTTTTTTCCAACATTCATATTACTAACCAGCCAATTTTCCGTAACGAGTGAATTATAATATTATCCACTTCCTCCATTTTGACAGCAAATGAGGCACGTGATTCAATTTACAAGGCCTTTGACATACTGTACATTCATACTCGTTCAACGCCGAGCCACAAATTAGAAGTGCCCGCGTCCAGTATACACAGTGACATTTCCCCATTCAGCAACCATCTATTTCAGGCCTTCTTCCTTACTTTCATCACTGTTTTGAATTATATTGCCTTAAATACTACACCTTCTATAACTACCCTAACACAGATGACCAGATGACAGATTCGAGCAGGTTTCGAGCAAAGATAACAACATCACAAAGAATACCCATAAGAGAGAGAGCCAACTTCGTTCGCCAGCATTTGTTTCAAAGAGGACCGCGAGAAACATATCTATGGGTTCCATGGAAACGCGGAAACGAAGAATCAAGTGTTGACAGGTACTGAGCGGGTAGTTCAGATAATTTTTTCTTGTGAACAGCTTGTACAGCGGTGAGTATTGATTTTCACCTCATTGTATTATTTGTAAAGTTATTGAATGAAGTGGGGGAATTATACTGTTTTTTCATCAACCGGAGTACAGTTATACAAAAGCGATAGTATCGTAAGCATCTGAAATGTTTTACCGAGTGACTATCACTGAATGACTTCACCAACACACATCAACAAACACAATCCAACTTCTTCAAACTTTTTCGAAGATAAATAAGCGTTTCGAAGGCGTGTTGCTTCCCGATATAAAAAGCAACAATTGGGATATAACAATTTGTTCAGCGATTTATCTTATATTAATAAAATTATACAAATTAATTCTTCCTGTATTATCAGGAACATTTTACAAAGAAATTTTGTAATGTTGGTGAAAGTGTCATTTTTAGAAATTGACTTCTTAGTGTTGGTTACATGTGTTGCTGTGGTTTTACACTACAGAACATAAGTTTTATTTAATATCCTAAGATGTTTGTGAATTAAAATTTCATTCTGAAAGGCATCCTTTGTGTACATAGCATCAACAGAATCTTTCTTTCTTAAAAAACAAATTGTTTTCTAAATTAGATTTCTAATTGTTTTTATCCATGATCATAATCCAGTTGGCCAAACTTGGTATTGGCATAATAATTGTGGAGTAAACGTCTTTAAACTATGTGTCTTTTTGATTGGAATATTACTGCAATTTTAAAACATGTATCTTTCATCATTTTTATTAATCCAGCAAGGTTATAAACATTATAAAAAGTGAGAAATGCTCTTTAGTCTTTATATTGTGTGCATGTTAAGTAGTATTTTGGCTCTGGTTTTGTTGTTAATATTTAATAGAATTTAACATAATGTAAGATTATAATAATACAACTTTATCTGGATATTTGTAATTTAACAGTGAATCACCTATATGTTCTCTTCACTCATTACTATCATAAGAATTTAAGTAGTATAAATTTACAAATTTTGTCACAACCCAGTAAAATTGAGAGATTAATGTTTAAAAACTTTATTGTGATAATGATAATTTTGTAAATGTTATACCAATGTTTTTTTTCTGATGTGTAAAATTGATAATTATAGTACTGATAAAATTTAGATGAAAAATATACATTTAAATAAGTAATCTGTTTCTCATAGAATCTGAGGTTAGGTTGAATTAACAAGATAGAAATAGGAGAAATAGTGATGTTCGTGTGTTGATGTACTTTCAGATTTCAAGGCAAAATTTGTCAGGAATATACAGTATATATTTTATTGTATATATTTTTTTTAAGCTTTTATTTTTAATTTTCATCAAAGATCATTTTCTATTAAATTGAAATATGTATTTATTTTACCAATGGGAGATTTTTGGTCTTTAAAGTGAATTTAATAAAGTTAAATTAATTGAAAGGATGACATGATACATATATAACTTGTTTCTTGAATTCTGGTATGTATCATTGCAATTTTAATTCTTACTCTTTCTATTATGATTGAATTTTGTGCACAACCTTCGTAAGAATACATAGAGCTCTTTGATCCAAAGTTGCATGAGGAGTCTTTCAAACAACTTTTTTTAAACTTACATAAAAGGTAGTATTCTTTTAATGAAAATTACAACAGTTGTTGTATAAAATTATTATATATGTAGGTGTTGAAACTCAGGGACACTTTTTAAAATTTTCTATATTCTAGGCTTGATAATCATCTTTTTACGTGCTTTATGCAAGCAAATTCATTGATTATGCCATCAGATAACCATTCTAAACCATTTTCTATTTTCATGTGTGCAAGATAATTCAAAAGAAAAATTTAAATTATCTTTACTTTAAATATTTATTTTTATTATATAAGAACTTTCTTCTCTTAATTGGGAGCTCATATGATAAGAGGGCCTGGCTGGAAGCAATGCTTATATATGGCTCTTATTTTGCAATTCCATTTGTTTAAATTTGTGCATTTACTTGTGAGATGAAAATGACTTAAGTTTTTGAGTGTAACCCTGCAAGAAATAAAAATATCTTAATTTTTCGAAGAAAAATTTTGTTTGCAGATCAGTAACTGACTTAAAAATATGTAGGGACTATAGATACCATATTGAAAATTAATAGTGTACTTCTCCTCCATATGTCACATATAGATTTTACTGTATTTGATGATTAATAATTTTCTATATAAAATGTTCATATTTCTATAAAATCTATATTCCTCCAAAACATCCTTCAATAACAAATCACCCATTAAATACAACAATAAAGATGCAATCTGCTAGCCAGTACCTCAAATTGGAGCACTCCAACTGCAATGCAGTCCTTAGAGTAATAGAAAAATGATCATGCAGTTGCCAATGTTGCTACTCACTCGGGCATTATTGTATCATTTCATTATTTTCGTAATGTTTTGTTTAACTTAGCCAAATCTAAAGCAGAAGATGGCCAACATCAACAATGGAAAGGAAATGTTGGTATTGTATTTATTAAAAATGATTTTGTAATTTATACAAGATTATAATTTGGACCTATCCTATTTAAGCTGACTTATTGTTAAGCATTTTCTTCTCCTTTTGATAGTAGTATTATGAAATCTGCTCTATCTATGGTCAATTTCCTACAACTTTACCATATCGATTGTCATTCTTCTCCATGATCTTGAACATTAATTGTGTATTAATTATTCTCCTTGCTGTCACAATTTCTTCAAACCTATCCAGGTGTACTCCTATTTCCTGGACGTCTTTTGTCCTGATGACTTGAACAAGATTTGTCATTAACATATAATTTATCCAATTCAGTCTTACTGCAGTTGTATTGCAAGTGATAATAATGCAGTTATTCATATTTGTTGAATTCATTACTACAACCTAAGTGCAATTTTTTTTCGTATGGCGAGGATGTCTTTTCTGTTGTCTCTTAGGTCCAGAACACATATCCTTTGGTTTAAAATATTGTAATATTTGAGATAACTTTAACCATTTTATCTGCATTCATCATAATCTCTAACATCAATTTACTGTTGTGTTTCTTCTCTATTTGTACTCATTAATATTTCAAACGTTAATTGAACAAAGATTAGTTGCCTTGCCTATGATCATCTGTGTTCAGGGATGTCAGAAATATTTTCAATTATAGTGCTGAACAAGATGAAATGTAATATACCTAAAAAGGCATACGTTGGTTGTTCGTAATTATTGGTTATATTGAAATTGTTTATAATTTTTTTAAAAAATTTATTTACAAATAGCCTGTGGCTAATATAAGTATCAATATCATATTTTGCTAATACAGCACCCTTACTGCATAATTTTAACAATTATTAACAATTTAATTCATACAATTTATAACAATGATTCTTTAACAGCTCTTCAAATAACAAACTCAATATAATCAAAATGACAATTATGTAATAGTTCAATTTATATACTCATTAAGAATTCAAGAAAATAATTTGTCAATAATTCTTTAACAATACAAAATATTCTAATATTAAGTTTCATATTCTTTCTATTGACAACTGATATTCCTCAAAATTTTCCAACTGATCCAGATTGCTGTATTTGTTGTAATTCATTGTGCATTGCTAGCCTTTTATTAAATATTGTTTTGTAAGCATTGCTGCTTTACATTTTTTTCTCAGAGGAAAGGTTCCAAATTTTTTCTTCAAATATTCTTCTTGTAAGTATCTAGAAACAGCAAAGAAAATGATTCAAACATTTTCAAAAATTGCAAAAAGTTAATATTTCAAAACCACAAAAGATTTTTGTGTTAGACGAGGTCTCTTGTAAAAAATCAGCTCTTTAAAAACGATCATGTACAATTTTTAAAAAAAACATTTTCTCAAAAACGGCTCCAAATATTTTCTTAACATTTTCTCCACAGATAGAAGAAGGGACACTTAAAAGAATGGTGGGGTGTAATGTTTGTTAAATTTTCTGAAATTTCAAAACTTGCAAATTTAGAAATAATACAAGAATCTATGTGCTGTTATAGCACAATTAGATTTCGTTTGATATAGGGTTGGAAAAGATCATGTTTTTTTTTTAAATCAGATTTATTTGATTTAAATAAGATTTTTTAAAATTGTATTAGATATTTTTAATTTAAGCCAAAATCGTTAAGCAATTTATTTATCCTTAATTACTTTAAAAGCACAAAAAAGGTTATTAAAATATCAGTTTTCAAATATATCATTAAATTATTCTACTTAAAAAAATAAAGATACTATATATTTGAGGGGTCCAATGCAATACTCTCCTAATTCACAAAATCTTTAAATTTGAGTTACTTATAGTTTCGTGCTCTTGAAACACTTCTCTTGTGTTCACATTACCAAATAAGCTTGTGCCACTGTTTATTAGCATGAAACTATTAGTTGAAAATAGGCATTTTTCATTCACAGAAATTTTACCATTTTTTCTGCAATACCACCTTAATCAAAAGCACTTACTGTTCAAAACAACTGAATTCATTGAAAAACTTATAACAATGTTAGGCAGTTTTTCAAATATTAAATTCTACTTAATACTTATGCTGTTATCCAAAAATACGGGGTATAATGGTTGTTACTTGCACACTTTCCGATTAACCCTTTAATAGAAATTAGGATGTGTGCTTGCCACTTAAATATGAATTTTATCAATTCACACGTAAAGAAAAAGGTTAATATTATTAATACTAGTAAAATGAACTACAATCTTCATTAGTTTTAAAAATATTAATTTTGTTCTTTAAATGCACATTAATAAAATTCCGTTTTTATTAATACTCATCATATTTAAGATGTACTTTAAGTGGCTTTAGCAAACATTTTATTACAAATCTAGAATTATGGACTCCATTGTAGGTTTAAACCTGTTTTTCCCGAAACTAGTTCAGTGTATGTTAGGGTGGTATTGCTGATAAAT